TTGTGATCCTGGTTTTTGAGGATCATGAAACTGCGGAGGAAATCGGGCGAAGCCCCGAGTCAAATGCAGCCCCGCAGCCTCGAGTGTGAAATTGACATGTTTGTGTCGAGGCAAACGGTGCTGTGCTGCGAGGCAGCTCTCGTGAGAAATCACCCCAGGATCACGAAACTGTGGAGGAAATCGGGGGAAGCCCCGAGTCAAAATGCAGCCCCGGAGCTTCGGTTGTGAAATTGACATGTTTGTGTCGGGGCAAATGGCGCTGTGCAGCGAGGCAGCTCTAGTGAGAAATTGCCCTAACTGTAAAAAAGCTTCCCTAAGATCCAGCCGGCTCCTTCTCGCCCTTAATTTAAACCCATTCTTGCGAGTCCTATCCTCTGCTGCCAACAGAGGCAAGTGGCAGCCCTCCTCCAAGTGGCAGCCCTCCAAAGGCTTCAAGAGAGCAATCATGTCCCCCCTCAACCTCCCCTTGACGCAACATTCCCCAAGTCCGTCACCCCCGATCATCCTTGTCACTCTACTCTGCATGCACTCCATTCTGTGCACATCCTTTTTGAAGTGAGGCCTCCAGAACTGCCCACAGTCGAGCTTTAACGCTCTTTGTTTCCCCAGCTTTCGAATGGCAAGATCCCAAGACGGCCACTTCCCAAGTCTACCTTCAGCTGCACGAAGACAAGGTGATCAAAGTGCTGGACAGCAAGCTGGCGGTGGTCCGGAGCATCAATCTGAAAAACCAGCAGCAGGTGGAGACGATCTTGTCCAACAACAAAGGCAACAAGACCTTGCTCCTGAAGATCCCCAAGGAATATGACCTGGTAGGTGTCTTGTGCCGTGCGGAGCAGCGGCTCCCAAAGAGAGGCGTCGGGGGTGTCGAGGCCCATCCGGGAGGTACAAAAGCCTTTGCGCAGGGCTCAGACGGACTTAGATCCTGCATCAATTTGCAGGACTCAGTAAAGATCCTATATTTCCCTCCATCTGTAAAAGGCAAATGACAGGCTCCTGCTGCCTCGGTTTGCCTTGAGGCCATGCGGGAAAGAAAGGAGGTTTAACCTCTCAATCCCCGTTTGGTTTGGGTAACTGAAACCAGCTCTCTTGCTCTGCTAGTAGCACTTTATCATGTTGTTGTTTATTGCACAAAATGTATACCAAATATATTTATTCATTTATATTTTATTGGAAACATTTATGAGCCGCCTTTCTTCCTCACGGAGCTCAAGTCGGCTGACAGCCTGAATGGAATGCATAAAATGGAGTGCACAAAAATATCTATAAAACCAGGGGTCATTTCCTGCAGGAGCACACAGGAGCAGAGCTCCGGCAGTAAAGAGCCCAGGGGGTGGGCGCATGCAACAAGCCCCACCCCCTGTTCTCAGCAGCCCTCAGTCAGAGCAAGAATTAGCCAGGTAAGTTGCAGAGGCCCCCCCCCCTCCAAAACAGTCCAGTGGCACCTTTAAGACCAAGTTTTATTCAGGTACAAGTTCTCCCTCCTCTGCAAGGACAGATCTTGTTTCCCCATCCCCCCAATAGCTACCAATCCAAAACAGTCCAGTGGAGCCTGAGCAGCGGGTGTTGCCTTCTGACACACTTTCGGTGACGTCAGGGGGTGTGGCATATGCAAATAAGTTATGCTAATGAGCTATGTTAATGAGCTCCTGCACCTCTTTTTCTACCAAATGACCCCTGTATAAAACCAAAATTTAAAATCACAGTGTAGGACTACTAGTAACAGAATCAAGTGCTGTCCTCTAAACTAAACCCTCTTCAACTGTCTCCTAAAAGATCGAAACGTGAGGGGGCCTTGAGTCACCTTTATGAGGAGGTTGTTCCATGATTGTGGGGCTACCACTGAAAAGCCCTGACCTGGAGGGCCCAGGCTAGCCCAGTCTCATCAGATCTTGAAAGCTAAGCAGGGTCAGTCCTGGCTAGTATTTGGATGGGAGACCCCTGTGGAGTACCTAGAGATGTAAAATTTCCAGAAATTTTGAAGCTCGGGAAAAAACCCATTTCTTTCGGGGGGAAACGAAAATTTTCGGGAAAATTGAAAGAAATGCTACATTAGCATTTCTTTTGTCTTTTCTAGATTGAAAGTCATTCTGTTACTTTAGGAACATAAAATATGACTATGGATATTTTTACTTGGCATGAAATTATCACAACTAGCATATTCAAAATATAGTGTATCCAAACAATTATTACAAACAGAATACCCACCCACATGCAAAAATAAAACTAAAACCTTTTTATTTTCTTCTGACAATCGCACCTCCCAAAGGAAGAAATGCATCTTGTTCTTGCATTGGAGAGTTCAGTTTGTAACCTAGGACTTGCTTGTCCTCAGTGCACAGAAATTAGATCAATCTGATACCATACGTATTTTTTAGAAATGATTTGGAAAGTATTTGAACACCTTGTCTTAAAATATTTTATTCATCATGTTAAAATAAAACGTTCCATAATCAATTTTTTTTCTTTCTTTTTTCAATGTTTCCAATTTTTCGGAAAGAAACAAAAAAGGCTTCCGGAAAAAAATGGGGAAAAAACGTTTTTTTCTGAATTTTTCCGGGCCTTCACATCTAGGAGTACCAGGGTAATGATGCAGGGCAGGCAATGGCCCATCATCTCTTAAAATCTATTATTATTATTGTTGTTGTTGTTGTTGTTATTGTTGTTGTGTTGTTGTTGTTGTTATTGATAATAATAATAATAATAATATCATAATCATCATCATCATCATTATTTGGATTTATACCCCGCCCTCCCTGCCAAAGCATAAAATTGTTAAAACAATTTAAAAACTTATAAAATCTAAAGTGCAATGCATCCATACATACCTTCCTAATATACTGGCCATGGGCCATTAATAAAATATGACTGACTGACATACATTCCTATGCGACAATCATAATACAGTGTTTTCATAACAGGAGTCATTTAGTACAGACTTAGATGAAGAATACCATTCCAGGGAGGCTCCAAGTTATGTCAAGATGTTGAATGTGGTCAAATGCCTGGTGGAAGAAGGGGAAAATGTGACTCTTTCATCTACAGTCTGATGTGATAGAGTCTATTGACCAGCTCAGGGTGTGATACTAATCACATGAAGCCAATGAAATTGTATAGATAAAATTGTATTTTGGCATTGTGGTGTTTAGCCATTTATCCAAGCAACATTAATGTACAGATTTTGCAGCATCTCAAGAACATACCTAAATTTAGTAGCTAAATGAAGAAATAAGGAAAATCATAAATTGCAGTTTTATCAAAGGCAAATGTAGTTGTATTTTGTCTGGACATAAATTCAGCTGAAACCAGTAGGCTTTAGGTCCAAGCAAATATATGTAGGATCTTCTTGCATTAAACAGAGATGTTTGCAGGGAAACAAGGTCTCCTCCTTTAGTAAGAGACCTTTTGCCTCTGCCTCCTTTGCCTGCCACTACTCACTTGGCTGGCAGGAGAGAAATGTCTGAGGTTAAGGGTGGGACAATCAGTGTCTTGAAAACCCTACGGGGTCGCCATAAAAAGTTAAGCAGGGTTGGCCCTTTTAGTACTTGGATGGGAGACCACCAAGGAAGTCAAGGGTTGCTATGCAGAGGCAGGAAATGGCCAACCACCTCTGTTTGTTTCTTGCCTTGAAATCCATATCAGGTTGCCGTAAGTTGGTTGCAACTTGACATTTCACCTCTTTGTCCCCGTTTAGTTATGATAATTGAAACTTATGGTTATTGTGGGGCTACCACTGAAAATCCCTGACCTGGACAGCCCAGCCTAACCCGATCTCGTCAGATCCTGGAAGCTAAGTAGGGTCAGCCCTGGCTAGTATTTGGATGGGAGACCTCCACAGAACACCAGGGTCATGACGTGGAGGCAGGCAATGGCAAGCCATCTCTGAACATCTCTTGCCTTGAAAACCCCAACATACCTTGGTTATAATACTTGGTAATGATAATTGAAGCCCTTGTCGCTATTACCATTGGAAATGGGAGGGAGTACATGTCCTCTTTTCTCCTTTACAATATCGAATAACAAAGCGGGGAACCAAGCTTCAAATGTCCAAACTAAGTGATGATAATATTTACGATGCCCCTAGAAAGCCTACCTGCGGGTTTCCAGCCTGCAGCAGCGCCCCACCTGAGCTGAGAACCTCTCCGTGGCCTTGTCTCCTTAGGTGTTGCAGTTCAGCAGTGAGGCAGAGCGCAGGGACTTCCTTGCGCAGCTCAAAGTCTACCTGGAGAGGAGCCGGCTGACCCTGCACGCGTCCGAGATGAAGGAGCAGCAGTTGCTGAAGAAAGCCGTCACCAAAGAGCAGAGGAAGCACCTCCTGGACTTATTTTTCCGGCATTTATTCGCCCAGGTACACACAGAAGCAAGACCTTTCCCTCCTTTAAAAAGCAAAACAACAGCACAAAGAACAGAGTGTTTAGCACCGCAGCTGCAGAAACGACACACGGCCTTTAAACATTTTCTTCTTTCTGGTGCTAAAATTACTGAAAGTTGAGCTGTTTCTGGGTCCGCCCCAGGTAGACTTCCAGCTCTGGGCTGGGAGATTCCTGGAGATTTGTGGGCGGGGGAGAGCCTGGGGAAGATGGGGGTTGGGTAGGGGATAGGGTTGCCGACTCTGGGTTGGGAAATAAATAGCTGGAGATTTGGGGGGTGGAGCCTGGGGAGGGCGGGGTTCAGGGAGGGGAGGGATCTCAGCAGTGTTTTAATGTCATAGAGTCCACCCTCCTAGATGAATTGTAATTCCAGGAGGTTGGCAACCTCCCAGATGTCTGGCTGGGCAATCCATGTGGAAATTTCACTCACCATGGCTAGTAGCCACTGATAACTTATCCTCCATTAATCTATCTAATCCCCATTTAAAGCTGTTTATTCCTGTGGCCATCACTACATCCTCTGGCAGCGAATTCCACATTTTAAGCACTATCTGTGTAAAGCAGTATTTCCTTTTGTCCGTCCTGAACCTACTGCCCATTATTGTTTTGGAACAGACGCTGTATAATTAAGCAAAACTAGTACTACTGTTTTTTTCTCAAATCTATATCAAAACCATCATCATTATTATTTATTTGTCACAGTCAGATATGTGACTGGTTGGTGGTGTTCTGCAATTTGAGATCTAGCCAAGTTCTTGGGAACTGCAGGTGTATCTTCTCAAGATTCTCTCTGTTCCAAGCAACACTGTCTTCTGGAGCTGAGCTGGTATTATTCGCTCTATGTCCAGAATGTCCAGTTGTTTCTTGAGACTTCTAGGCACTGCTCCAAGAGCTCCAATGACAACTGGCACAATGATAACCTTCTTCTCCTAGAGATGCTCTAGCTCTGTTTGTAGGTCTTGGTATTTTGTGATCTTCTCCTGTCCTTTCTTTTCTATTCTGCTGTCTCCTAGGATTGCAGTGTCAATAACCCAAACTCTATTTCTCATTTTTTCTACATTATTATTATTACATATTATGATTATTTTTCTGCTGAGTCGTCAGAGTCCTACCAAAAGTGGCTGTCATTTAAAGTAATAAGTTGTCAGTATTAAAGCGAGACATCTGCTTCCACCGTCAACAGATCTGTCTGCCAGCATAGTTAAAATTTCAGTTCAGCAGCCAAAGCAAGTTTGTAACAAAAATGATCTTTGGAAAAACGAAACAGGTCCTTACATATTCTTTTGGCGGATAGATTTGCCATGTGTGTACAAAAAAAAAGAAAAAAGGAAGGCCTTGGTCTTAGTAACTGTTACCCAGGCAAATGTTTTCAACTCCTTTCCCAGTCCGTGCCCTTCATTTTCATAAAGATTTCTGTTTTGTTTGTTTTTTAATCTCTGCGTATCTTCCCTACGCACCAGTATTCACTAGATCTAGTTCCTGCTATGTGCCAGGCCCTTTATTCCACTGAGACCTTTTCCGCATGCTGGAGTTACTCCTGATTTTCTTGGACGTTGATCTACAAGCATTGGAACTGGTTTGGGCAGGGTTCTGCTGCACACCTGCCCTCCCTGTGCATTATTACAGTTGTGAAGTCAGTTTATTTTCTTCCACATGTGGCTGAAATAATGAGGATTTTCAAGAGAGGGTGTTGTCATCATCGATGTCGTTATTGGTGGCATCACAGGAACCCCCCTCTTTTTTAAATGCCCTCAAAATATCGGTATAACGCTGTAGTGTTGCAATGATACTTTAAGCTGGTTGTCTAAATTCCCAGCCATCATCCAGCCTCATGGAGATAGACTTACTTTTTAAAACAAAACGAAAGCTGAGAATTCAGAGAACCTGCTTACACTGTCATTACAGCACCACAGCATTATATCGATATTTTCAGGGCATTCTTTTAGATTAAAATCACTGTCTTGGGGGGGGGGAAGGGAGTGGTTTAATGATGACGACACTCCAGTAATTGAAAAGTGGGCTAGAGATGGTGGTGGTGGGGGTTTTGACTCAAAATCGGCTTCCACAAAAACTTTGGGATAAAAGTGTTCTCAAAACAGCCGGGGGGTGGGGGGTGGGGAGTGAAACCTAAAGGCACCAAAGTGTGTGCTTAAATCAGGATGGGCAAAAGGAAATACTACTTTACATAGAGAGTGATTCAAATGTGGAATCGGCTGCCAGAGAGTGTCGTGACGGCCACAGGGACAAACAGCTTTCAAAGGGGGATGAGACAGATTAGTGGAGGATAAGTCTATCTATGGCTACTAGCCATGGGGGCTGATGGGAACCTTCACATTCAGAGGCACTAAACCTCTGAATCCCAAAGCTAGGAGGCAACATTAGGGAAAGGTCTCGGCCTCTCTGCCCTGTTGTTGGCCCTCCAGAGGAATTGGTTGGCCACCGTGTGAGACAGGAGGCTGAACTAGATGGACCCTCACTGGTCTGATCCAGCAGGGCTCTTCTTATGTTCTTATGAAGGCCTCGGTCTCTGTGCCCTGTTGTTGGACCTCCAGAAGAACTGGTTGAGGCCACTGAGTGAGACTGGATGCTAGACTAGATGGACCACTGGTCTGGTCCACCAGCAGGGCTCTTCTTACGTTCTTATGAAGGCCTCGGCCTCTGTGCCCTGTTATTGGCCCTCCAGAGGAACTGGCTGGCCACTGTGTGAGACAGGATGCTGGACTAGACGGGCTCTTCTTATATTCTCTTCTTATATATTCTCTTCTGATTCCACGGTATGAGACAGGATGCCGGACTATATGGACCATTAGGGCTCTTCTTATGTTCTTAAATCAGAGACAAACCAAAGCAGTATAGGGCCAGAACCAATGGGAAAAAAATCATGCAGAAAATCCCAGAGACATATTTTTCATGTTTCTTTCCTCACCTTTGAATTCCTCCCACACACACACGGGATTGCAGAAACAAGCTCTGTGCAAATCAGGTGCCACTTCTTACACTAGTCAGCCTCTCGAATGCAGAGGACTGCTTTGAGGCTGTTGGGAACGGGACCGTGTAAACCGGCCAAGAGTCTAAAGGTTCCAAAGCCGAAAGGGCTCCTGTTGCCAAAACGTAGCATGAAAAGCCATTCCCTCACGCCTTTCCATCGCGGGGAATCAGTGTGGCCACTCTTGTTTGTTGAAGACTAAGGAAGTTCTCAGAGTCTGCAGGACTGTCCCTGTGTGAATACTCCCATAAATGTCCTGCACCACTGAGAAATAAACAGAGCCCTCGATGAATCGGTGATTTCCCCATCTAATATTTACAGGAAAGGGCAAGGCACCCGGAGGAGCAAAGAGTTTTGTGTTGATTTCCTTGTCTCTGGTGTCGGAGCCTGGAATGGTTCCTGCAATCTAATCTTTGATACTTGCCCTTTTAGGTCTTAGACATAGACACACTGGATGCTGGAGAGCTCAGCTTGGAGACATCTCAGAAAGTCAAGGAAGCGCTGAAGTGTGAGCTGAGCCGAGCGGAGTTCGCAGACGCTCTGGGGCTGAAGCCCCAATCCGTATTCGTGGACTCCATGTTCTCGATGGCGGACAAAGACGGCAATGGATATATCTCCTTCAGGGAGTTCCTGGACATCTTGGTGGTCTTCATGAAAGGTGACGTTTTTGTGACGCCAACGGGAAGGACAGGGTGGAATTGGTCCATTGTCGGGACGTCTGGAACCCCTTACTAGGAAAGCATCCAAAATGTTTATTAGCGAAATCAAACGTGTACATTTCTACCTGACCACCTACCTACCTGACAAGTAAGAGATTGCAGAGGACCCCTACATATGTACATGAACACACATGAAGCTGCTAATACTGGATCAGACCATTGGTCCATCCAAGTCAGTATTGTCTACTCAGACTGGCAGCGGCTCTCCTGGGTCTCACGCTGAGGTGTTTCACATCACCTCCTCCCAGCCCTTTGAACTGGAGATGCCGGGGATTGAACCCGGGACCTTCTGCATGCGAGGCAGAGGCTCTTTCACTGAGCCATAGCCCCTCTTCTGTAAGTGCCATCAGGTCTGAGCTGACTTATGGCGACCCCAGCAAGCAGCTTTCAAGGCAAGTGAGAAGCAGAGGTTTTAATATAAGTTCATTCTTAGCCTGAGCCCAGGGCAATATACGTGGTTCCCTCCTCCTCCATTTCATCCTCTCAGCAACCCTCTGAGGTAGATTAGCCTGGGAGAGTGATTCACCCTAGGTCACAATGTAGCAACTGGGAATTTGAACTCAGGTCTTCCCTGGTCGTAGTCCAAAACTTGTTGGCTCTGATGCAGAGGATCATACCTCTCTGCAGGGCTATTTTTGGGCAGGAACGCACAGGAACGGAGTTCCGGCTGGCTCCTGAGTTGGCCACACCCAGCAGGAACTCATTAGCATAATAGGCCACACCCAACATCACAAACTCATTAGGATTGGCGCCCTCAAACATTAGGGGTGTGTGGCCCAACATGCAAAGGAGTTCCTGCTACAAAAAAAGCCCTGGGTTTGGACAACAAGGTAAACAGAATAAGAAGCAAAAAGTGGGTGTGGCTGGATGACCACACTTCTGGTAACATGGGGGTGCGGCCTAATATGCTGTGCTGTCAAGGGTGTGGCCTAATATGCTAATGAGTGTCTGCTGTTGGGTGTGGCCTATTATGATAATGAGTTCCTGCTGGGCCTTTTCTACAAAAAGAGCCCTGCCTCTCTGCCTTTCTCTTCAAAGATCCCTACCTCATTCTCCGGAGTAAAGTTGCGTATCAACACTTCTCTGAAGCCTCATGGAGAATCTCTTGATTATATTTTATTCTTATTTTATTCCAGGGAGCTCAGGGGGGAATGCACGGCGGTCTGTGCCTTCATTTTATCCCTGCGATAACCCCGTGAGCTAGTTTAGACGGAGCGAGAAGGAACGGAGCCCAGTTCCCTCTCCAGAACAACCCACTAGAGAACAAAGGGAAAGCTCGACTTTCCATCGACCATCTGAAATGATCAGAGAGAGAAGTAGGGTTGCCAACCTCCAGGCGGCACCTGGAGATCTCCTACTATTACAATTGATCTCCATGTGACCAAGATCAATTCCCCTGGAGAAAATGGCTGCTTCAGAGGGTGGACTCTATGACATTATACCGTGCGGAGGTCCACAGTGCGGCACTTCGGGGCCCTGCCCCCTAATTAAATCCCCGGCCCCCCAATTAATTTGCATGTTTCCCAAAGGCTCATGGGGATGCTTTTGAAAGACTCACCATGACCTAGGTGGTCTACAGCAGGACTGGGCTAGCAGAAAGGTGGATTGTTGGAGATGTGCTGAAGGTGCCACTCTTGAGTGCCCTGCTAAGCTTTCTTGCCCTGTGGAAGGGAACTCAAAAGGCATTTGGATGCCTTCTGAAGGCAATTAAATGCCCTATGAGCTGTTTCCCCCCCCCCCAGGAACTCACATGCTTGCTGCCCTGTCCCTTGAAGGGCTAGAAACAAGCTAGGAGCCTCCCCCTTTAAAGAAGTGCATTCAGATTAATTTAATTAACTTCAAATGCCTCCTGAAAAAAAAAAATCCTGCCGCGGTCCCTCCCCTCCCCTCTCCCTCCTGCCTTCCCCAGGCCCCGTCCCCAAAATCTCCACCTATTTCCCAACGCAGAGCTGGCAACCCTAGAGAGAAGAGAAGAGACCTGGATTCAGAAGACTCCTCCAAGTTAACTGGTGGTCTGAGATGAGCAGCGTCTATCCTGATGTTCCTTCGGGTCGTAAAAAGCAGGGTATAAAAACCAACTCTTCTTCTTCTTCTTCTTTTTCTTCTTACTCCTCATTTCATCTCTCCCAGGATCTCCTCAAGAGAAGTCCAAACAGATGTTCACAATGTACGACATTGACGGAAATGGCTTCCTTTCCAAAGAAGAGTTCTACCGGATGCTGAGGTAATTCCCCTTATCAACGGCTTTCGGCATCGAGTCGTGGGCAATGCTGTGTCTCAGCTGACACACATCCCACTCCCCAGTTTGTGATGCTGGAGAGAAGTCTGAAGGGGAAGCCTTCTCCCGGACTCCAAGCCACCCCCTCTGCCGAAGTTTTTCCAAGTCTAGTTTTACATATTCATTGTTTTGGTCCCAGCTGCTGAGGAAAGAGAGCGGTATTTCCTTTTCTCTGAGCCAGCTTGGTGTCGTGGTTAAGAGTGGAGGACTTTAATCTGGAGAGCCGGGTTTGATTCCCGACTCCTCCACATGCAGCCAGCTGGGTGACCTTGGGCCAGTCACGGCTCTCTCAGAGCTGTCTCAGCCCCATCTCCCTCACAGGGAGTCTCCTCCTCCTCCTCCTTCTTCCACCACGATGGACAGATTTAAACTGAAAATGCTAGAATTGCCATTTTGGTGAGATTAATGAGAGAAACAGAGAGAGCTCTCTCAAGAACTGGCCTTTCAAGGACAGCTCTGACAGAACTATGGCTTGCCCAAGGTCATCCAGCAGCTGCAAGTGGAGGAGTGGGGGATCAAACCCGGTTCTCCCAGATTAGAGTCCGCGCACTTAACCACGACACCAAACTGGCTCCCTCTCCAAAATGGCAGCTAGAATTGCCGTTTTGGTGAGATTAATGAGAGAAACAGAGATTTGAACCCTAAACACTATAAACACTTGTGAGCTATGGAGAATATCCCAACCTCCTGAAGGGGGAAAGTGGCTCCTTCTCCAAAAAGGTGGTGACATCCAAGGCTTTCTGACACGCTAGGCCGGGAGTCCCCAACATGTTGGCCGTGCGTCCCACGGTGCCCACCAGCACCTTTCCTGGTACCCACAAAGTGTTTTTTAAAAATGGGTGGGGCCGGGTGGGTCTTTTGCCCAGTCAGGCTTCTGATGGCTATGCAGAGTTTAAAAACATTGCTTTGGCAGCAGTTGCAACAAGGATACTCACTTGTGTGACTGACGTAAGGTGCAGCGGCCATTTTGTGGCTGGCTCTGCCTCCTGTGGCAGCCGTTTTGGGGCTACACCTTCCACACTCTGTCAGAATTCCAGAAGTGATATGGAAAGTTAAAATGCAGTAAAAGGATACTCGCTTGTGTGACTGAAGTAAGGTGCAGCGGCCATTTTGTGGCTGGCTCTGCCTCCCGCGGCAGCCGTTTTGTGGCCGAACCCACCGCACCGTGGGGGAATTCCCAAAGTGCCCGCAGGCTTGACACGGTTGGTGAAGGTTGTCCGAGGCCAGCTATGACTTTGGTTCCCTATCTGATTCAACGTACGCAAACATGATGAGCCGTCGATGGGCTCATTCCAAGGGCTGCATATCCTAAAATTGCATACCTGGGAACAAATCATCTTGAACACGGTGGGGCTTATTTTTGGGCAGGAACGTGCAGGAACGGAGTTCCGGCTGGCTCCCAAGTTGGCCACACCCAGCAGGAACTCATTAGCATAATAGGCCACACCCAACGTGGGGGAATTCCCAAAGTGCCCGCAGGCTTGACACGGTTGGTGAAGGTTGTCCGAGGCCAGCTATGACTTTGGTTCCCTATCTGATTCAACGTACGCAAACATGATGAGCCGTCGATGGGCTCATTCCAAGGGCTGCATATCCTAAAATTGCATACCTGGGAGCAAATCCTCTTGAACACGGTGGGGCTTATTTCTGGTAGGCATACATAGGGGGCGCTTTCTCTGCCCGGCATCCTAGACCCCTGTTGCCTCTCTCATCTTTTTAACGGCCCCCTCCCTTCTGGTGCCCTAGATAATCACCTAGCTTTGCCTAGTGGTCAGGCCAGCGCTGTTGATACCCCTTGCTGGTGCGAGGTCCCAACTGATGCTTGCGGCAGTCCTGGACCACACTGTGTCTTCTGACACCTGCAGCCTAAGAAGCTGCCTTATCCTGAATCAGACTTTTAGTCCATCAATGTCAGTATTGTCTACTTTGACTAGCAGTGGCTCTCCAGGGTCTCAGGTGAACGTCTTTCACATCACCTGCTGCCTGATCTTTAAACTGGAGATGGCGGGGATCGAACTTGGGACCTTCTGCATGCCAAAGAGATGTGATGCTCTGCCGCTGAGCCACAGCCCTCTCTTGAAACACCTGAACCCATAAGGCTGCCTTGTGCTGAGTCACACCATTGGTCTACCAAGCTAGGTGTTGTCTACTCTGGCTGGTAGCAGCTCCCCAGGCTCTTGGGCTGAGGTCTTTCCCATCACCTACTGCCTGGTCCTTTTAACTGGAGATGCCGGGGATTGAACCTGGGACCTTCGGCATGCCAGGCAGAGGCTCTTCCACTGAGCCACGGCCTCTCCCCATACTTCTCCAGGGCCTCAGGTGGAGGTCTTTCCCATCACTGTCTGCCTGCTCCTTTCAACTGGAGATGCCGGGGATTGAACCTGGGAACTTCGGCATGCCAGGCAGAGGCTCTTCCAACTGAGCCACGGTGCCTCCCCATAGCTCTCCAGGGTCTCAGGCAGAGGTCTTTCCCATCACCTACTGCCTGCTCCTTTCAACTGGAGATGCCGGGGATTGAACCTGGGACCTTCTGCATGCCAAGCAGATGTTCCACCACTGAGCCACGGCCCTTCCCCTCTGCCTGCAACAGTATTTAGGGGCAGAGGCCCCGCACCCCACCTTATGGGCCACTCCTGCTTAACATGACACCACACTGGTTCTTGGCCCTCCTCTCGACCTTCTTCTGAGATGAGAGCATGCCGTCTCCCTCCGTTCCAGGTCCTTCATTGAGATCTCTAACAACTGCCTCACCCGAGATCAGACCGAGCAGGTCATCGAGTCGATGTTCAGAGAGTCGGGCTTCCAGGATAAGGAGGAGCTGACCTGCGAGGATTTCCATTACATGCTCCGCGACCATGACAATGAGCTCCGGCTCACCCAGCTCTGCGTTAAGGGTCAGTGAAGTGGGGAGCCTCAGCCAAGCCTCGGAGGGGTGGTGGTGGTGGGGAGGGTCTTAGCTGTTAAGCAAACACGGTCTGGCTAGCTCTTTGGTTTGGGGGAAGCACTTGCTTTCTGGGGAAATAGGTGACATGGAGATCTGTTGCAGCCTGACAGCCATTGGCTTAATTGCTGTGATGTCAGAGCAGACTTGGGTTAGGCAACGAAGTTCTACGTTCTCTGCTTTCCTCGATTTTGTAATCCAATTAACAAGTAGCGTGCATTTTACTAGTTTTATTGCGCTGTTTTCAATCTGTGCCATGTGTCTCAAATCTGAGAGAGAGGTGGGAGAAGATGAAGAAGAAGAGGAGATTGGATTTATACCCCGCCCTTCACTCAGAGTCTCAGAGCAGCTTACAATCTCCCTTCCTTTCCCCACCACAGACACCCTGTGAGGTAGGTGAGGCTGAGAGAGCTCTTTCAAGGACTGCTTGTGAGAGAACAGCTCTGAAAGAATTTAAGATTGACCCAAGGTCACACCAGCAGCTGCGTGCGGAGGAGTGGGAAATCAAACCTGGTTCTCCCAGATTAGAGTCCGTGCTTTTAACCACTACACCAAACTGGCTCTCTCTGGACTATATATGAAGTAAATAAAATAAATAAATGAAGTAAATAAAATAAATAAAGGTTAAACAGCTGAGTTCCACCCTCTCAAAGCAGATGTGAAGTGGCCAATATTGTATTTTTGCGTTGCTGGTGCCCACCACTAACATCACTTTCAGAAATTAGGATCAAATAACCAATCATATGCCATTAACAGCAAGTGTCACTTATCAGTTTGCTTTCAAACTTGTCTTTAGACAATTCTCGAGATGTCTTATAAAATCCCATGGCATGGAGGACAAAAAGACAACAAGAATTAATGAACAGAAGTATATATTCAGTTTAACAAAAGATACGATGAGCCTTGAGATTCCAGTTGCACGTTATCCTCCTCCCCAATCATAGCCCAAGGCTGCTGTGACATCATGGCATCTAAGCCAATGGCTATCAGGCTGCAACAGAACTCCACATCGCATCCCCACGTGACAGAACAGATTGGCCACTTTGTCACCGGATGATACCCGAAGCCCATAGGCTGGGATGTGGTTAATAACGGCAATTTAAAACTAACCGTGGAAAGAAGCACGTGGAATGGGGTGAACTAGTGTTCCACCCTTTGCAGGTGTTCTGAATAGTTCCTTATTAATTGTTGTTGCAAAAGATTACATGGCACTCTGACAGACCAGCCAAAGAAGTCAACCATTCCTTTTCTTCTCCATTTCTGAGCACTGAAGCATTTTTGATGCTAGACTAAACTTCTTCTTCTTCTTTGTCTCCCAAAGGCGGTCCTGACAGATTCAGACAAAACATGAGCAATCGGGTCTCTTTCATAAACAAGGACAAAGAAGCCAAGTAAGCTCTCTGCCCAGCCACTGAGCTGCTGGTGCCCCTAAAACATTCCGCTTGCGTCTTCCTGTGGTTGCCAGACCCGTACTCAGTGGCTCCCTTGCGACAATTAAACAACACCATCATTTTACCAGCCGATAACTGAAAAGAAATATTTGCACAGGGTTCTTCATTGCACTTTGGTGTTGTACAGTGAACACCAATGCACAGACAGGCATTACCCTTGGGCTGTTTCCAAACATCCTCTTGGAACAGATCCCGAGGGGCCTGCAAGCTCCTGATGCTGCAGCAAATGGTTTATTGGTGTAGACAGGCATTACGCTTAGGATGCTTCCGGACATCGTGTTCTCTTGGGTCAGATCCTGAGAGGACTGCAAGCTCCTGATAAGTACAGCAGATTATTTGCCAGGGTAGACAGGAAGTTCTCTTAGGATGCTTCCGGACAGCGTGTTCTCTTGAGTCAGATCCTGAGAGGACTCCAAACGCCTGATAAATACAGCAAATTATTTGCCAGTGTAGATAGGCATTACTCTTAGGATGCTTCCAGACATCCTGTTCTCTTGGGTCAGATCCTGAGAGGACTGCAAGCTCCTGATAAATACAGCAATTTATTTGCCAGTGTAGACAGGAATTTCTCTTAGGATGCTTCCGGTCATTCTGAGAGGCCTACAAGCAGAATGCTTTTTGTTGTCGTCACCCAGCAACTGGTATTACAAAAGTACACTGCCTCTGAACATGAAGGTTCTATTTGGCTAATGTCTTGTAGACTGATCTTCCACGAATTTGTCTAATCCCCTTTTCAAGCTGTCAAAGGCAGTGGCCATTGCTACATCCTGTGGCAGTGAGTTCCACAAGCAAAGCACGTGCGGTGCAAAAGAAGTGCTCTCTTTCATCTGTCCCGAATCTACCATCCACTGGTTTCATTGGGTGCCCCTGTGTTTCCAAGAGTTACGGGGAATGGCGGCAAAGTTCTCCTTGGCCGCTTTCATCACTGCCTCTCCAATCATAGCCCATGAGGAGAGGGCTCCCGTGAAAAGGAGTTCTGCCGGGAATGGACAGAGCTCAGAGAAGTGGCTTTCCCTGGGGATGGGGGGCACCATTTTTAGAGGGACCCTGTTCTGATGCACTAGAGTGGCCCTTCTCTGGAGAGGATCTTGCTCTTTACAGAGCCTCAAGAGAGTCAGAGGCTCTCTGTCGTTCATAGAGGAGTTTCTCCTTCGGAATATAATGACCTCCTCCCTTTGCAGCTTGTTCCTAAACCATGAAGACCAAACGGCACCACCTATGGAATCCCCGGGGCTAGAACTGCGGAAGCGGCCGGGCAAGAAGTGAGTATACTTTCACAGATACTTCAAGAGGGGTCGCCGCGTTAGTCTGTCTGCAGCAGTAGAAAAGAGCAAGAGTTCGGTAGCACCTTAAAGACTAACAAAAGACTAACAAAACATGCAGCAGAGCTTTTGTGAGTCACTGCTCAGTTCTTCAGATACAGCCCATCTGTCCTAAATCCAGTCATGCCTGCTATTGTCATTTGGCGTCTGAAATCCCTCCACTTTCCAATAAACAGGACGGATGGACTCCCATTCTAGCTGCATCTGAAGATCTGAGCAGTGACTCACAAATGTTCCTGTGGTTAGCCATTCAGTCGTGTCCGACTCTTGGCGATTCTCTGGGCCAGCTCTCTCCACATTTTCCGATCTTGTACTGTTTCTTTGAGTCGTTCCGTGCTCAGGCTGGTGTCAACTTTTATGGTGTCCGGCCATTGTGTTCTTTGGCGGCCCGCTTTCCTTTTGCCGCTAACCAACCAATCCAAGCATAATTGCTTTTTCTAGTGAGTTCTTGCGCATGACATGGCCAAAATAAGTTTTGTGATTTTTCCCTTCCAGTGGCATGTTTGGTTTTATGCGCTCCAATACTTGCTTGTTTGTCACCTTTGCTGTCCAAGGAATGCACAGGAGCCTTCTCCAGCACCACAGCTCGAATGAGTCGATTTGCCTCCTGTCTCGCTTCTTCAAGGGGCCTGGGTGGCTCAGTGGTTAAGATGCTGAGCTGCAGACCAGAAGGTCTGTCGCTCGGCAGTTCGAGACCCGAGTGTGCCGCGTGATGGAGGGAGCTCCCATCTCTGGGCCCAGCTACTGCCACACTAGCAGTTCGAAAGCAAGAAATTGCAAGTAGATAAATAGGTAGCACTTCGGTGGGAAGATAACAGCATTCTGTGCGCCTTGGTGTTTAGTCATGCCGGCCACATGACCACAGAAATGTCTTCGGACAGCGCTGGCTCTTTGGCTTGGAAAAGGAGATGAGCACCGCAACCCTAGAGTCGGACTCAACTAGCTTTTGAGCAAGGGAACCTTTACTTGCTTCTTCTTGGTCCAACTTTTGCAGCCATAGCAGAGACGATAGCAGAGACGAGAGCTTCTACCCTGCCACATTTTTTTTTAGTCTTTAAGGTGCTACTGGGCTCTTGCTCTTTTCTGCTTCTTTCACAGATACTGACATGTTTCTTCGATAGACCCAATGCTGGCAGGTGTCTCTCCATGCTAAGCCTAGGATGTACCTGAAGCAATGTGCGGTGCCTTATGTGGCGTTTGGCTCTGCCAGGCCCACTGATGGCCAACAGCTCTAAGGCAGAGCCAGCTCTTTACCAGCACCTGAGATTCTTTAATGGGAGATGCCGGGGATTGGACCTGGGCCCACTGCCCTTGCATGTGGAGATACAATGTCTGAAGCCACTTATGTCTGCTGCAGCCCAGAAAGGAAACAAACCACGGGGCTGTGGACATGCAAATAGCCGCAGGGCTGATTTGCATTTTCTGATTTGCCCTGGGAACGTGTGCTGTTAGGTTTTTGCAGCATTTCCCGTTGCGGTAACAGCCTTCGGAATTGACTGTCACCGCCTGAGGTTCAGGGTTCTTCCGAGGCTTCTTATCTGTTTCTGGCTGACTCAACGGGAGGCAAACACTTCACTCGCACGGTATTAGCGCTTGCCAGAGTTGGCTGGCTGTCAGCCACTGTTTGGCTTGGGGTCAGCTGCTTAGCCGCAGAGCGGGGCAGGCCGACAGTGGACGTCTGTGTGTGTTGCTCTTCCCATGGCGATAAAGCCTGTTAGGGCCGAGGAAGCTTTATTTATTTATTTTATTTATTTATTCCTTCGATTTATATACCGCTCACCCCCTAAGGGCTCTGAGTGGTTTACATTATACAATTCATACAATTCATTTCTAGCTGTATCGCCCGCAAAAATGTCTGATACAGTGACATCTGAAGCCATGCCTGGATGCTGCCAGTAGGTGAGGAAGTGGGAACTAGCAAGCTGTTCTAGAGTCCCAAGCAGGCGTGAGGAACTGGCTTTTCGATGGCTCCCACTGTTGTGATTTATTCTGTGACATTTGCCCCGTATGGGGGCCCTCAAAGGGCCCCTGGTGGAGGCTGGCCCAGAGCTCAAGTCCCTTGCTAGTGGGGAAAGTGCCATCAAGTTGCGGCCAACCTATGGCAACCCCTGTAGGGTTTTCAAGACAAGAGGCATTCAGAGTTGTTTGCTATGGCCTGCCTCTGCATAGCAACCCTCGACTTCCCTGGTGGTTGCCCATCCAAGTACTAACCAGGGCTGATCCTGTACAGCTTCCAAGATGTGATGAGATCGGGCTAGCCTGGGCCATCCAGGGTGTCCTGCTATAACACTGGCCAAGAGAAGGTGGTTTGCCATTGCCTACCTCTGCATCAGGAACTGCGGTGGCTCAAGTGGTTAAGATGCTGAACTGCAGGCTGTGGAAGGTCGGTAGTTCAGCAGTTCGAGACCCGGGTGCCGCATGATGGAGTGAGCTCCCATCTCTAGTTCCAGCTCCTGCCAACCTAGCAGTTCGAAAGCAAGAAATTGCAAGTAGATAAATAGGTACCACTTTGGTGGGAAGGGAACAGCGTTCCGTGCGCCTTGGTGTTTAGTCCATGACCACGGAAACGTCTTCGGACAGCGCTGGCTCTTCGGCTTTGAAACGGAGATGAGCACCGCAACCCTAGAGTCGGACTCGACTGGCTTTGGAGCAAGGGACCCTTTACCTTTACCTCTGCATCATGACCCTGGACTTCCTTGGTGGTCTCCCATCCAAGTATTAACCAGAGCCAATTCTGCTTAGCTTCCGAGATCCGACGAGATCGGGCTGGCCTGGGCGAGGTCAATTTCTACACTTGTGTTGGGGTTCGCAAGTTCAGCTACTTCAGTCATGAAAGAGTTAACCTGTTTGTTTATGTATGCTAATTCTTAGTTAGCGTAGAACCAATGAGATACCAAGTACAACTTCCCGAGCTAGAAAGGGAGGTCTTACTCATAACAAAGTGACCTTTAGCCTGGCTGTTGGCTAATAGATATTTGGTGATACTACCTGCGATCTTACAGGTATGTGTAGGGTTTTTTTTTTGGGGGGGGGCCTTTTTCCTCCCTTTGTTCTAAGACCAGAACGGCTTCAAAAGGGAATTAGATAGGCATAGGGGCAAGGGGTCG